TATTTCAAATAAATCAGGTGAATCATATTTACATATTTCAAATATATCTTTTGTATCCAAAAATGATTGTGTTGAATCAATCAATTGGATTTTAAGAATATCATGTAATGGTTCTCCTACTACTGATCGTATAAATTTATAAAACTCATCACCTTTCAATGTTGAAACGTTATCCGGTAAGGTGGATAAGTTGTACATATTGTTGCTATTCATTTGGAAAGCTTTTAAGTTGAATAATATATAAATCTAAAATTACTAAAAATAAGTACCAATGATACAGCAGTAGAAAAAAATAAAGAAATAGGAGTATGTAATTGCCATGAAAATTATTTTCAATGTTAAACTGATATATTCATTAAATTGAGTATCTATTTTAGCAAGTTTGTTGATTTATCATCTCCCTAGTGAAAGTACTCATACGATGAGTACGACTTTACTCATAATTCGTCCATGAGTACTTATATTGGTACTACTAACAATTTCTGAGTATTGTTACTCAGTGAGTACCAGGGCTGGCAACGGGCCATATTTTTAGCGGTCCGTTCCGACCGGCTCGGTATTTACTGTGACGTATCCCTACCGGCCCGTCTGGTTTGATTATTCAGCCTGACCGGACCGAACCGTGATTTTATTCGACCCGACCGGACCGGCCTGACTTGGCCCGACAAGTTTTTTCACCACTTTATGAAATGTATATATCATAAATGTAGATTAGGGTACGCATGGTTCTCTTAGACTTGAAAACATTGAGCTGTGCAAAAAACAAATAGAACAGAATGTTATCTGACAAAGTTTCAGCCTTTTTCTTTAAATCGTAATAAAAATAAATAAAATACATTTAAAAAAAAGAATTTGGTGATTGCACGAGTAATCTCTCCATTGATCTGACAAATAATATATCTTCAACGGTTTCTGGGTTCAATGATGCCCGACGTTCGTTAATAATCAGATCAGCTGCGCTAAATTGTCTTTCCACACCGGCAGACGTGGCTGGTATTGAAAACAGACGACGAGCCAATATAGCCAAAGTTGGAAACCTGCTTTGATAATCGTGCCAAAATAATAATGGATTAGCTTGTCTGTATTTTTCATCTATATTAAACTGCAAATATTTATCCAGTTCTTCTGTTTTATATAATGTCGAACTGCCATTGTCATCGTCTGTTGGATCAGCGAATTCTTCTTCTAAAGTCTTCTGTTTTTTCGTTGCTGGTTGAACGGTTGTTACCATTTGTGGAAGTTTTTTACAATCATTAACACCAAGAATAATTTCCATTTCTTGTCGAATAAAGGAATGTGTCCATCCTCTGCCATATATTGCAGCAAACGTTAACTTTCGATACTGTGGATGAAGAACAGCTGCCGATAAATGACGTTCATCGAATGTAAACATGGATGCTAGTAGTTGTATTAATCTTTGTCGAAAAAAGTTTGTACCTATAACACAACAAAATATACATGAACAGAATAAAAATGATTCCTTTGAATTAATATACCTTCGTGACGATCATCTAATAAAATAATATTCCCATTTTTGTCAACATCATCTCCTGTTAAATGACGTTCCAATTTATTACAACCAATGTATACCATGTGTAGCGATGGACGATTGCCTGTTTGAACGATTGTTGATACATGTTTGAATTGTTTCAATAAGCAAACTAAATCTTTGATTGCATCAATATTTATTTTATTAATTTTTACAGCTTGTTTCACGGACGATGGTTTTGATAATACTATCGATCGTACATGTTCTAATGACGCCTCAATAGATTCCAATAGGGCTGACAAAGATAGCCATCTAACAACGGTCGATAAAGCAATTCCATAATTATCTTGAATTTCTTTGTTTAGACCAACCTTTAAGAGAAAAGAAACTGTAAAGAAGTAAAACTTTTATGTAATATAATTAAGCGCTTCTTTACTCACCAATTTTACATATTTAACTAAAGTTTTCGATGCTGTAATTGTATCTAATATTTCTTTTGCTTTATTTGCTAAATGACACAGTTTCACTTGAGATTCTATATTTTTCGTGAGTGATAGCTTTTTTCCTGTCGTTCATCTTCTTGTCGTAAACTCTTCATCAGAAATGTCATCATCGGATGAACCCTCTGGAATGATATTTCTTTTTCGTCGTTGAGAAGCTCTTGTAGGAGTAGATTCTGTAACTGACTGTGGTTGTATATCTTGTATTTTTAATCCTGTCTGGTAGAAGGCTTTTTTAAGAATATTATTGAGACGATGTGCGAAGCAAAACAAAACAGGCAGACCTTCTAGGGCTTTAATAACATTTGATCCTCTATCAGACATGAACGTTATTTTGTTTAAATTAAGATAAACATCTAAATCAAATTTTTTTAATTGTCGCCGAATAGCCTAAATAATTGAATAATTAAATTAAGTCAAAATCTGTGTTTCAGTACATTTGCATCTCTTGTATTAGCTCATCCGAAATTTTGTTGTTCCCCAAACTGATCTAGACTTTGATTGACTTGTAATGCACCACTTAATACTCGAGCACCAGTATCACCAGTTTCGTTCCGCCCCAAACCAACTTTGATTGACTTTTAATGCATGATCTATTATTTCAATGGCCACATGCGTTAAGGCTTGATTCGATAAACTAATTTCAGATGGTGTCATATTGTGTAGTCATTTTTCTACTATGTTTATTATTCCTTTTGAAACATTGAAGTTAATTGATAATGCTTTCGATATCTGTTGATATGCTATTTGGGTGGGAACGAAATTGGTTTCGCTCGCGTATTAAGTGATGCATTACAAGTCAATCAATAGTGCAGATAGTGCGGATATCGTGTGCATCTGAAGTGCATCGAATCAGCAAATACGTTGTTCAGTCATCTCACGCAAAGAGAAGGCGATCAATAAGATTTACAGTGAAATAATAAATTATCTAATTAATTAATTTAGATGTAAACAATTCCTAATTATCGTATAAAAGCCTAATAAAACAAAAGAACGCGTTATTGTTATTAAAGTGGCAAGCTGGGGTGTAAATATGAATCGGCGACGAATTACCTCCTAATCTGATATGCTTTCGCCGAGCTCCAATTACTAAAACACAGATTTCGACTTAATTTAGTTTTATGGTCGGGTTATAGTCCATGAAAACAGCTTTTTGAGCAGATGGACCCCGTAAAACGAAGTCCAGTCCAGTTTATAGTTTAATAGACTTTTGCACAATTTAGTTTTTATTATATAGTTTTTTTTTCAATATACTTCTTTTTCTGTTGCGACTCTACCAGGTATGCACCGGTATCGGTATCGATACCGAAAATACCGACTGTTTTCGATTTGGACTCTTTTGGATTTTTTCAAAATCTGTGTTTCAGTACATTTGCATCTCTTGTATTAGCTCATCCGAAATTTTGTTGTTCCCTAAACTGATCTAGACTTTGATTGACTTGTAATGCATCACTTAATTCGCGAGCGAAACCAATTTCGTTCCCACCCAAATGAAGTTGATTTAGGCATTGACATTTAATGGGAACTTTCATTAGACAGGTCAGATGATCTGTCTAATGTCTAATGTCTCGTTTCTCCCGTTCGAGACAACAGAGGTGTCTATTCAATAATACTGCAGTTTGGGTCGTGCTGCTGAGGACTTTAGTCAGACAAGTTTCTCTGTAAGACTTTGATTCTGTATACAGATTCAGTAGTATCTTCACCTAGACGTCTTTTCCTTCTTTTCTACATTATCAACAATAGCATATCAACAGATATCGAAAGCATTATCAATTAACTTCAATGTTTCAAAAGGAATAATAAACATAGTAGAAAAATGACTACACAATATGACACCATCTGAAATTAGTTTATCGAATCAAGCCTTAACGCATGTGGCCATTGAAATAATAGATCATGCATTAAAAGTCAATCAAAGTTGGTTTGGGGCGGAACGAAACTGGTGATACTGGTGCTCGAGTATTAAGTGATGCATTACAAGTCATTGAAAGTCCAACTCAACTTGGTTTAAGTACGACCGAAATTGGTGCTTATGGTGGTCGAGCATTGAGTGACGCATTACAAGTTAGTCAAAACCTAACTCAACTTTCTTCATATGACAACGGAATTGGTGATGATGGTGCTCGAGCATTAAGTGATGCATTACAAGTCAATCAAAGTCTAACTCAACTTGATTTAGCTAAGAACGAAATTGGTGCGTCAAGATCTGAGTCAATATGGAGTAGTTATGCGCCGGTAATGGTATACCGAACACCCAAAAAGTACCGATCTGCGGTTTATACCGATACCGAAAGTGCCGACTTTGTTTATTTGGATATTTTTAGATTTTATCATTTGGAATGACATAGTTTAGCATCCTGAGCACCCACAAAAGATCAGAGATGTAAACCAAGAGGTTGCTTCCTTTCTAAGGCCAACGTTTTGCATACCTAATATGGAGATCTGATAGAGTCGCAACAGAAAAAAAAGTATATTGAAAAAGAAACTATACAATAAAAACTAAATTGCGCAAAAGTCTGTTAACCTATATAAATCAGGTTGAGTTAGATTTTGATTGACCTTTAATGCATCAGTTAATGTTCGAGCACCAATATCACGAATTTCGTTCCCACCCAAATGAAGTTGAGTTATACCTCGATTGACTTTTAATGCATCGCTTAATGCTCGCCATATTCAACAATTCGGTTCCAACGGAAATCAAATTGAAGTAGACTTTGATTGATTTGTAATGCATCACTCAATGCTCGAGCACCAATATGACCATTTTCGTTCGAGTGTTTTTGGTTGAAAAAGTTGAGTTAGACTTTGATCCACTTTTCATGCATCACTCAATGCTCGAGCACCAATATGACCATTTTCGTTCGAGTGTTTTTGGTTGAAAAAGTTGAGTTAGACTTTGATCCACTTTTCATGCATCACTTAATACTCGAGCACCATTATCACCAATTTTGTTCCCACGCAAATCAAGTTGAGTTAGACTTTGATTGACTTTTAATGCATCACTTAGTGCTCGAGCACCGCTATCACCAATTTCGTTCTCATACAACCAAAGTGTAGTTAGACTGTGATTGACCATTAATGCATCACTTAGTGCTCGAGCACCATTATCACCAATTTTGTTCCCACGCAAATGAAGTTGAGTTAGACTTTGATTGACCATTAATGCATCACTTAGTGCTCGAGCACCATTATTACCAATTTTGTTCCCACTCAAATCAAGTTGAGTTAAACTTTGATTGACTTTTAATGCATCACTTAGTGCTCGAGCACCATTATCACCAATTTCGTTCCGAAACAAAAGAAGTGTAGTTAGACTTTGATTGACCAATAATGCATCACTTAGTGCTCGAGCACCATTATCACCAATTTCGTTCCGAAACAAAAGAAGTGTAGTTAGACTTTGATTCACTTTTAATGCATGACCAATTATTTCTATGTCCAGATTGGTTAAGGCGTCAGATGATAAGTTAATGTTAGGTGGTGTCATATTTTGTAGTAATTTTTCTACTATCTTTATTATTCCTTTTGAAACATTGAAGCTAGTTGATAATGTGTTTGATATCTGTTGATATGCTAGTGTTGATCCTGTAGAAAAGAAAGAAAAGACGGCTAGATGAAGATACTGCTGAATCTGTGTACAGAATCAAAGTCTTACAGAGAAACATGTCTGTTCGTGAGCTGATTGTCAATTAAGGTTCTAATTTGATTTTTCTTTTAATTTTAATGAACGAAAGACCGTTCAAAAACAACAGTTTTCATATTCTCTTAGGAAACGACGAAAATACACTTTTTCTATCCGTTTTTTACATATATGATAGAGCTCATGGTTCTGAACAATTGTGCCGTTTAGCAGGCTATCAAAATCGATTTCTAAAAGACTGCAGAAGTTGTTTTCTGTCTATTCCGTGCGATTTGCACGAACTGTCCCGAATTACCCCATGCAAAATAGCCGAGTGTCCATAATTATCCCAAAGAAGAAGAATAAAAGAACGACTATGTTCGTTCATTTTGGTACTTTCAAATTGATTAATCAAGCATATGTCCAAAGGACTAGCAATTCACAAGGTAGATAGAACTCAAAATTCTCTACAAGATGGTGTAGTTTTTAATTAGTAAGGTAAAACTTTGCCGTTGAAAAAGAGTTGTTTTACTTTCTTCCAGCCATTTTTGCTGGACTGTCCCGAATTACCCCAGCGAGACACACTGACGGTCCCGAATTACCCCTAAATGGGGTAATTCGCGACATTTGATAGGAGCTCTCTGGAAATTGATGAGTACTTATTAATCTTATTGAACTTTAACAAAATTTTTACATTAGTAGATAGAGAAATGTTCGGCCTATCCACCTGCGAAATGTCGTTTTTTCTCGAGTAAAAATGCTTCAGCTATGCTCAAAATACTGTGAAAATTAGAGAGGCTGTCCCGAATTACCCCAACCTACTCTAGTTATGATGTGTGTGAGTACAGCGTAGCTCATATAGCAGCTTCATCATAACCAAGCAATCAAAATAGTTGATAGATGCTTTGGAGATCAAATTAAACACAGTGTGTGAGAGGATGAATTGTCCTTCACAACTGGAGATCACCCTCAGCTCTCCTTAACCTTTTCTTAAGAGGAATGTTCTTTCTAAAGCCTGCCACTTTACGCTAGAAGAACTGCAATCAAGCCTACATAGTTATATTTATTACAGAGGAACTCGTTGAACGTTACTGAAAAGGAAAGAACGAATATCTGGATACTAGGAATTCTGAGAAAGCCGGAATGATTCAATCACATTAATGTCTGTAAAACGAACGTTCATTGATGATGAGTGAAGCCTGTTTCACGATAAAAGGAGGAATATTCTTTTCAAACTCTAAGAGAAAGATTATGTTTCATCTTTGACAGGTTCGAAAATTTCTCGGCTTTATTTCTAAAAGTGTAATTAAAGAAAGTTCCTATTAACTTAGTTCTCGCCGCTACGCCTGTTGATTGGTCAGTCATACTATATAACTTCGTCTTTGTTGAGTTTTATAAGAGAACTTGTTTGAAATTATGCAGTAAAAAGACTAAGGCCACTCAAAGATGGGCGACTACACGGATTCCTGAGCACTAGTGCTGAAGATCGAGTACGAGTAGGAGTACAAGTATTTTTTGTCTGTAGAAGCCGGTGAATCCGAAAATATTTCCGAATAAATCGATTTTTTTATACACAAATAGTAAACAAAAGGTCACCAGTTTTTTGGGAAGTACTCGAGTATTTTTTGGAATACTCGTTAAAAAAAGTCCCGAGTACGAGTATGAGTACGAGTACTAGGAATTTTGTACTCGAGTATACTCGTACTCGCCCATTTCTGTAGCCACCCTAGTGAAAAACTTGCTCAAATCTTACTAAGATCTTAGAAAAATCTTGTTAAGATCTTAGTAAGCATTAGAAAATTATGTACTTTTTCCGCGCTGCATCAAATTAGGTAAAAATTGGGTGCTACGTGCAAAATTTTTCGGTGAATCCGACAGCGGGTTCCTTATAATTATACTTTGACTTCTTTTCTGGTGTCGACATAATCTACGTGGTTTTTGCCTAAATTTTATTTTTCTCATTGGTTGAAAAAAAAGCGCCAATGA